ATCGTAATCTGAAATTTTAATCTTCTTTTGGCGAATGTTGAGGACAATGTGGAACATACAATATCTGTGCCACCCGAGCGGAAATTCTTTCTTTACTGCATTGAATAGGCCTAGAACGCCGTGAAACAAACTCTTTCGTCTGTGTTTTTACCTTTATCTCTGTCTGAGATGAAAAAGAATTCAGGTGGAATGTTCAAGAACGAGTGCTTCAGGTGCTGCAAGAACCAAGTCCAATTTTCTTCACTTTCGACGGGCGCGATCGCGAGGGCAACAAGCAAGTTGTAGTTTGAGCCGTCTTTCATATTAGCGGCCAAAAACACGCCTGACTTGTTGTATATACCCTTCAAGTGTGCTCCATCAAGAGACATTAGGGGCTACGCCACTTGCGGTGCGTTTGAAAATACCCTGGAACGAGGACGCCTCGCCTGAATGTTCCGTTTGGGTAAGTCTCAAAGCACGAGTATGTTATAGAAATTTTACACAACCTGCGTACTTGTGTATTCGCGCGCCTACCGTGGTTATCTTCAGCCAGTCGAATGAAGTAGTCGTTCAGTTTGTGATGTTCATCCGCGATTGTACCACACACTCGTTCCATTGCAAGCTTTTTCACATTGCTTGTAAAAGCCGACTTCATCTCGATACCATACTTCAGCAACACCGCAGTGCGGACAGTACCGCAAGTGATAAATGGGGCATCTCTTGGTGGAGCTGGCTGCTCGTACACGAATTCAGCAACTGTTCTTGCAGCTTCCTCTCTCGAGAGGGTTCGATATCTCTTCACAATTTGAGCGTCTTGAGAAAGTACATGTTCCATCTCGTTTTGGACGCCCAGTTGTACAGCTGCTTCTATCTACCAACTTGGACATGATGTATTGTCGCTTTCATGCATGCTTATGCCCGCGTTCAATGTCTGCACCTTTCGCTTTAAGACCAAGCTGATGTCCATACCTGCTGTCGAGTGGAACAATGTCCACTGCTAAGAAAAGCCAATCAAAATGCGTTCGTCAATCCAAAGTAATTAACATGCGTCGTCTTGATTTCTCCGTCATTGTGTTAGAAATACATTCGACAAGTGTTACAGGTAAAACTCAATGCGCATAAAACCTGTTACACAAGCACTGTGTAATTCGCCATTAACCTAGCGGGTCAAGTTGCACGCATACTTGTGTTGCGAAGAATGATGTGGCACAAAGTTACAAACATATTGTGTAACAGAAAAGGATGTGGCATCGAGTTACACACAGAATGTGTGACGAATTTTCTGCGGCACGACAGTCACACAGCAACCGTGTAATCTGCCATTCCTTGTTAAAAGTATTTCGTAAAGCGCAAGGTTTGGCTCAGGAAATGGTCGTCGCGTGTGAATTGGATGTCTTTGTCGTTTCGAGATTGGTGTGCAAACCTCGACAGTGACGAGCACAACATTTCAAGATCGGTGAAGGATGGAGAAACCATCTTTTCATTCCCAACATCGGCTGCAGCAGGCGCAGCGGTGTCGAAGTTTCAGGCAGAGAAGCGTTTTTCACTCTCATCCAGCGACAACCGAGAGGACCTTCACATGCGGCACTACAGATGCCCTGTCACAACAAACAGAGCATGTTGGCCACAGTACTCGCCTTGCAGAGCTCGCATCACGTTCTACGTGGGTTCCGACGGGGTGACGAAGTTCGAGAACGAGGTATGTAAGACAGACAGGTTCGTTCGCGGTACTCATGGTGAACAGATCTTACAACACACACATCCCATGCCTCTGCGAAACCAACAGGAGGCGTTCCAAGCAGAAGTCCATGAAAAGGTTCGATGGACAAACTATATGGCACGTACAAAACTCTGTGGCACAGCTTGGTAGATTGGCGGATGATGTTGGTGCTGTGAAGATGGCAGTAACTGTCTTGCAAAGTGATATCAACGACGTAAAGACAACGCTCCTGCGTGTGGGACAACTGCTGCGCGTTCGATCACTCCAAGTCGACACGTCTTGCGTAACACCACCAATTCGAACGTGTAGTCAAAACCTGCACGTTGGCGAAGCCAAGAACGACGACGCAGTCCACGCGTCCTGTATAACACCACCTGCTTCATCGACGACTCACAGTCGGTGTGACGACGAAGACAAGAACACTTTACTTGGCAGCAGTTTTGTGCAAATCCTCAAGAACGAATTTCTTATTGTAACTCGCAAGGCGGTTGCAAGTGACTTGGTGACGTGCACTTGCCAAGGTATGCTCATGAAAACATCTATGGAAGGATGGCCAATCTTTGTGTAGACGAATGCGATGACAAATGCATGAATCGGTTGTGCGGCGTTACATGTTTGTTTTCAACGACAAAATTGTCAAGTGGGACCAGCATGTGGAAATCGAGCTTTGCAAACACTGGTAGAGCCAAAATTGGAAGTTGTTCAAACACCTGATCGAGGAATGGGACTACGTGTTGTGGACGGCGTTCGGCGCGATACTGTCGTTGTGGAATACGTCGGTGAAGTCATCAGCCGCAATATGAAGTCGGAGCGAATCAAGGGCTGGACACAACATTACCCCGACGACCATTCGCACTACATGGTGGAAATCAGCAACAACCTTTTCATTGATGCGAGACGACGAGGAAATTTGTCACGATTTATCAACCACTCGTGCAAACCTGATCAAGGTGGACGTTGGAAGTGAAGTGCGACTTGCTCTCAAGACTAAATTCGACATTGCAGCGTTGGAGGAGCTGACTTTCGACTACCAAATATCAAGACGTGATGTTGCTTGGTTTGTATGTCGTTGTGGTAGCCCCAATTGTTGCTTACAAGCGCCTTCTGGGGGTGACTCTAAACTTCGGACACATGACAACGACGAAGACGATGTCGAAACAAAACGGCCCAAACACGACAACGACGACATTGAACTGGATATGACGGATATTGTCGACAATGTCGAGGTTAGCAAATCGGTCGTAACACAAGTTACACACGTGGAAGGCAACATCGACGTGATTCTCGCAAGCTTCAGTCTCGAGATCGGAATTTCTGCTTCAAACGGCCACTGCTTGTTCGTTGCATGGGACTGCTGCGAGGAAAACAATCGACACCCCGTGCTCGATGACAGAGGTAACCTGGCAGAC